TTTGGATTCCATTCCCAATAGAATAATAATTAATAATAATAATTTTAAAAGGGGCTGGGGTGTGACTCTGGTCAAGTGCTTGCCTAAAATGCCCAAGACCCTGGGTTAGATCCCCAGTAAAGCCAAAACAAATTTACATGAATGATATATTATTTAGTTTGGTTGGTTGGTTGGTTTTTAATACAGTGTCTCATGTGGCCTGGACTGGCCTCAAATTCACTATGTAGTCAAGAATGATATTGAACTCTTATCCTCCTGCCTCTACCTCATGTGCTGTAGAATTACATGCATGATCTACCTCGCCTGGTTTATGTCTTTAGATAATGGAACTCAGGGGCTTTATACATGCAAGCACACTACCACTGAGCTAAATCCCCAGCCCATAAATTATATCCTTTTGTTTCCAAATACATACAATATAATCATTTAAATGCCTAATCAACATTTTGCAAGAGTTATTGTGACATGTAACGTTCTTTCTTGGAATAAATCTAAACTAGGTGTGTGATTTAGATTCAGTGCATCTGTGCACACACACACACACACACACACACACACACACACAGTCCACAGTGACAAGAACTGTGTCTGAGCCGCTTTCCATTTCTACCCCTGGCACCCAGCAGAGTGTCTGGCAAAGATGACTCCATTGGTCTCAGGGTGGGTTGTGGCTGTGCAGATACTTAGCACACAAGCATAGGAAGGAACTCACAGTTCTCCCGCCACGTCATCTGCTGCAAGGCCAGCGTCCTCACTTTTTCCACCACCTCTTGGTCTGTGAGAAAGAGTCTAGCTTGAGCCCAGGCCTCCTGAGCCCTCCCATCCCTGCAGGCTGCCACCAGACCTTACTCACGCTTAGTCAGGGTCAGGGCCAAGGCCATGCAGCTCAGGAGCAGTGCTGCCACTGCCAGTACACACAGCAGCAGCAGCAGCCTCTCCTGGTGACATGTACAAGCCCTGGGCTTCTGGATGGTCCAGTGCACTGAAGCTGGGGGTCATGGAGACAGAGAGATACTACTAGTACTTTCAACCATAAAAAAGGGGCCATGTACTGGGGCGCAGGCCTGTGGTCCCAGCAATCGGGAGGCTGAGGTAGGATGATCAGGAGTTTCATGGAGACAGAGAGATACTACTAGACTTTCAACCATAAAAAAGGGGCCATGTACTGGGGTGCAGGCCTGTGGTCCCAGCAATCGGGAGGCTGAGGTAGGATGATCAGGAGTTCAAGGTCAGTCCCTGATACACAATAAACTTGAAAGCACCCTGGATACACTGTGATACCTTGACTCAAAAAGTGATACCCTGACTGAGGAGATGGCTCAGTCAGTTGTTTGTTGTTTGTTTTGTTTGTTGTTGTTGTTGTTCAATTTTTTATTGAGGTTTTGTAGTTTTTTTGGTTTGGTTTTTTTTTTTTTTTTTTTTTTTGTCTTTTTGAGACAGGGTCTCTCTGTAGCCCCAGCTGTCCTGAAACTCACTATGTAGACCAGGCTGGCCTTGAACTCACAGAGATCTGCCTGCCTCTGCCTCCCGAGTGCTGGGATTAAAGGCGTGTGCCACCACACCCAGCAAGGTTTTGTAGTTTTATACAGCAGTTCTTAATCAAATTTAGCCCTCCTCTCCCCATCCATGCCCCCATCCCCCCACCAGACCCCTTGTTTTAAAGTGTTTATCTTGCAAGCAGGAGGACCTGAGTTTGATCCCCAAAACCCCTGAAAAGAAGCTGGGCATGGCAGCCCAACACTGGCAATCCCAGCACTCAGGATGCAGAGACAGTTGGATTCTTGTAGCTCCCTGGGCAATAGAAGCACCTCTGGTCTAGAACCTTACTCTAGAGCTGTTGGTCTGAGTCAAATACACCGTCTATGATGAGAGGAGAGATACCGGAAGGAGGAGGACTCACCTGTTTGGGATGGCTGCAGCAGAGAGGGCTCAAGATCCACACCTGGGAGCAAAGAGAAGGTTCTTTCAGAAGATGCTAGAAGATTCTGCCTTCTGCCAACAAGCCCTGCTCTGAACTTAGGCGTTCTTGGCTTGCCTAGCATGTTCCGTCCCTGCACCACAAAAGTAGTTTTTAGATGGGGAGTGGGGAAGGTGGCTCAGTCAGGAATATGTTTTGCAAGCACAAGGACCTGAGTTCAATCCCCAGACCCCATGTAAGAAAAATTAAGGTGTAGTGGCACACGTTTATAGTGCCAGCACTAGGGAGGCAGAGACAGTGAATCTCCAGGGCCTCATAGCCAGTCAACCTAGCTTACTTGGTGAGTTCCAGGTCAGTAAGAGACCCTGATCTCAAAAAGCAGGATGGACAGTGCCAAAGGGATGACACCCAAGGTTTACCCTCTGACCACTACATAGACATGAATATGATAGTGTACTCAGTGGTAAAGTAGTTAAGACCTTCCATCCTAACACTACCACCCACCCCCACCCAAAAAATAAAACTTTATTTTTAAAAATAAAGAAGAGTAGCTAGGGAGATGGCTCAGTTATGTAAAGCCCAAGCATGAGGACCTGAGTTCAGATCATCAACACCCACAGGAAAAGTCAGGCTTGGTAGCACTTATCTATAATCCTAGCACTGGGGGAACAGAGATAGGGAAATCCCCAAAACTTACTGGCCAGCTAGTTTAGTCAACTGGTGAACTCAAGATTCAGTGAGAGACACTATCTCAAAATTTCCAGGTACCTCCCCTCACTTGGGTTTTTGAAAATAAGTTTTTAAATTATGCATATGTGTGTGCATGCACATCTACACATGAGTGCAAGTGACTACAGCAGCTAGAGGCATCAGAGTCCCTGGAGTTGGAGTTGCAGGCAGTTGTAAGCCACACAGCATAGGTGCTAGGAACCAAACTTATGTCTTCTGCTGAGAACTATGCCTTCTTAACTGCTGAGCCAGCTCTCCAGTCCCCTACTCGGGATTCTTTAAAGGGTCTTCCCACTGCTCACCAGAATGTCCAGATGGGCAGCTGACAGGGGTGATGGCCAAGGCTGGAAGAATCAGAAAGAAAACAATCACTCCAGGAGGCACTTCAGACAGGTGGACAGGAAGGTCCCAGCCCTCCTCCCTCACCTGTTATCTTTTGGGGTTTGGGTGGAAATGAAAAGTTCTCCGTGTTCTCTCCTGGGAAAGGAGGAATGGCTGGTTGCTCAGGCCCAGAGTGGGGCAAAACTGGGGCCTTCCACTGCTCTAGCCTCAGCTCACCTACTCTGGGAGGCCTTGGTGGAGCCATCCAACCTGCAGAAGACAATGTCAGAGTTTACAAAAAGCCATTTGAAAACCCAACACCACAGAAGCTTCTTAAAGTATATACATATGAGACAGCCTGTGAGCACCTGAGCTGGCCACTGCCTGGTGTAGGGGCTAAGGCCTCAGGGCTAAGACCTCAGCAGATGGCCTGAGAGCGCCTGGATCTGGCCTCCACTTGGTGCTGAGCTTCCCCAAAGGTTCCCCAAATCCCCATGCCCAAACCCCTAACTGGGATTCTATGAGGCCCCTCCCCACATCCCCAGGGGTAGACCTCTCTGCCCTACAGTAGAGTAGGGCTGAGACCTTAGCAGACAGCCTGAGGGTGCTTGATCCGGCCTCTGCCTCATGTAAGGACTGAGTTCCCAGAAAACAACCTGAGAGTGACTGATCCAGCCTCTGCCTCACGTAGGGACTTAGAACTCAGCAGACTTCCTGAGAATGCAAAAATCCAGCCTCCCCTTAGCAAACTTCTCAAATTGTGCTCTGAGTACTCACTAGCAGGGGTTCAAACATTAGAAGGAAGCCTGAGCATACCTGATTAGAGCTGTGGGAGATCCTGAGTAGCTGATCCAAAGCCATCAGTTCCCTCCAAAATATAATCTGAGAGAACCTGAAACCTACACAAACCACCTTTACATACCCAGTAAGGAAACAACCAAAGCACACCAGTAATACAAATGGAAGCAAACTTCAACTCAACAAAAGAAGGCTTGATTTGCATACCAGAATCACAAACAACAAAAGAATTCTGCATGCCAAGATCAAAACAAAAAAAGTAATAATATGGAAAACCAAAACAGTATGTTCCCACCAAACTTTACCAGGCCTGTAGAAGAGTTCTACAAGGAGAACCCCCTATAGATAACCCAGGACACAGAATTTAAAAGAACAATCATAAACATGATCAAGGAATTCAACAAATTTAAAGAACACACAAACAAGCAAATCAAAGAACTAAAAGAAGATGGGGATAAACTTCTGACTGAATTTACAAAGGAGATAGAAACACTGAAGAAAAAGGCTGAAATGAAGAAGGACGTGAAAAACTCAATAAGCCAATTTGAAACAACAGGAGAAAGCTTCACCACTACAATGAATGAAATGGAAAACAGAATATCAACACTGGAGGATAAAGTTGAAGAATAGGACCGCTCAAGCAAAGATTATGAAAAATTTAAGAAACACAGGATAGAATATCCAGGAGGTGTGGGACACCATGAAAACACCAAATCTACATATTATAGGCATAAAGGAAGGAGAATTCCAGATTAATGGTATTAACCAGATCTTAAACAGGATTGTAAAAAACAACTTCCAAAAATTAAGGAAAGACATCCCCATACAAATACAAGAAGCACATAGAATACCAAATAAACAGGACTGGAAAAGACACTCCCCACAGCATATCATAGTTAAAACACTAAAGGTACAGAACAAAGAGGGAATACTGAAAGCTGCAAAAGAAAAACAATTCACATATAAAGGAAAACCCATTAAGCAGAATTACATGACTTATCAATACAAACTATGAAAGCCAGAAAGGCCTGGACCAAGGTATTCCCAGTTCAAAATGACCATAGATACCAACCCAGAATACTTTGCCCAGCAAAAATGTCTAGTATAGTTGAAGGGAAAAGAAAAATCTTCCATGACATGAATAGGCTGAACAAATATATGTCCACAAAACCCACCCTTCAAAGAATACCTGAAGCAATACAAAAAACAGAGAAGGGAACAACTATACCTCAGGGGCAACAGGAAGAAACTAAATGAAGGTAAAATTGTGGAAACACAAAATTAGACAAAGAATGCAAACAGTAACCAAAATGATGGCAACTAATATACATCTTTCAATAATAACTTTAAATACCAATGGACTGAACTCCCCAGTCAAAAGACACAGGCTAGTTGAATGGCTTAAAACACAAA